GCTATAGTACAGCATGCATGCGTAATAAATTATTTAGATAAGCTATAAAACAAACTGCTAGATATGAATAGCGTCGTACTTTGTACCAGTGTTTGCAGAGTTGTAATACAATGACTATATAAACATTTTTATTGACTGTAGTTGCACGCCTGTCGCTAAAATAAATATTGCCTACGTCACAATAACTGTTATGACGATCATGCTGATTGAATAATCTACATCTTTTTACGTGAACAATAGATTAGGTTGCCATGACAATTGTGTTTGAATTCCAGTCGCGTTTGCAGTCAGTCTGCGGTATTCTTTTAGGACATAATAATTTGGAGATTTCGTAAGTAGTATGTCGTTATGTCTAAAACAGCAGATTTCGTTTGCATGCCAGGAGCTTGCATGTGTGGTTTTGATATTCCTTAAGCGTACACCTACAAACTAAGTGTATGTATTATTCTTCAGATATCCTAATATCGATTTAGTCACTACTTGTGCGTCTATGATGAAGGGAATGTTGTTACATTGATTCTGTAAATAATAGATAACCTCATAAATATTAGTCTTCAAAGTCCAAGGGACCGTATTGAAGACGAATAGATGTCTCAAAAATACAAAGAGTTTGCGAGTTGTGAACATCGTCTGAATTCCATGGCTGTGAGTGCAGATTATTTCTAAACGATTCTGTGCCGTATAGTAATAGTTATCCTCAAAGCAAACGCAATTAATCATTAGGTAGAGAAAATAAATAACCGTGCACTGTGTCTGATATCAGGGCACCTGACGTATACGTGTCACTTCGTTATAAGCGTATTAGCTACGTCCGAAGCTCAATTCGGATTAATGATTGATTGGGGTAGGTGGTTATTTATTTTAATATAATGTGCGCGCCACGAGCCGCATGCGCATATACGAACCAATTACCGTTTCTCGGACCAACTGAGTTCTTAATTTGTAACATTCGCTATACGAAGTAAACTCTAAATCATATTATCTCCGCATCCCTGGGATTTCTTATATCGATTATCAGTGTGGATTAATGTTATATAGTGCTTTCCCACGCTGTCGATGTTTCGTTCTTATATGCCTATACTTTTCGAACGGACCGAGTCTATGGTCTGTTTCATTAGCACAGTAAAAATGAATAATATAAAATTATTAAAGTCAATTATATAACCTATGTTTGAATGGTGAATTAGCTGTAGGTGGGTCAAGACCGTTTGGTACCAATAACTCGTCCAATAAACCGTTAATTACCAGATCTACAGGAACTGAAAGACAGTGTCTGCGACAATAATGTATGTATAGGCCTACTCCATATATTGAATTGGCGATTCCATACATCCATACATTCATAATATTGAAGTGGCGATTTTTAAAATATTATTATGGATCAGCAGTCGCTGCCCCGCATAACGATAACGACATTTTAAAACTTTATAAAAATTAACAAATCAGCATTTGTCCTGCGCGTAACCAAGATCTGCAGTGGGCACGGAATATTTCAACGCCTTCTTTATAACTGAAACTGAAATAGTAAGGAGAGAGCGTCGGTGGCCGATCCACGTTTCTCTGACGATAGTGATATCAGAAGCGAAATAATAAGCAAAGTTATTTAGCGCTGGTATGCCGGCGTTGATTCCCGCAGACTTGCTGGCTAACATCAAGGCCCGGTTTATTCCTAATTTAGCTTCTTCCTACCTTTTACCCATGTAGGGGACTGACCCTAATCGTAATTAAGGTGCCCCATCGCATTCATCAGAACTACTTTGTGAATCTTCGAATGAGGGAATATCGCCTGAGATTTATTTCCACATATTTTTTTCTATTCCAACTTCTGTCCCTCACTTATTTCGTTTATAACTTTATCTTAGCCGCGTTGGCGTTGCTAAATGAGTGACAGATCGCTTTAAAATTAATTTGTACTTGTTCAACAAACAGGTTTTTTTCTGTTTTGCGTAAATTAGGAGTTTGCGTTTTTTCTTAGTGTTGCCTACACGTCTGCTGGAGCAACCACTTGTTTTTCTATTTTGTTACTAAGCTTTTATCATCATGAGTGAATAATAACAAATTTTGACATTATTCACCGCTGTTATATTACATAATAGAGATTATG